TTTAAAAGAATTGAAATCTATTGAAGATGCTTCAGGATGTTATAGTGCTACTATAGTTAATGATGATATATTTCATTGGGAAGCATCAATTATTGGTCCTGATGATAGTCCATATGAAGGTGGAGTTTATCGTCTTGATATTAGAATTCCATCGAATTTTCCAATTAGTCCTCCACGAATTCGATTTAAAACAAAAATTTATCATCCAAATATTCATTTCACTGGAGCTATCTGTATTGATATTTTACAAACTCAATGGAATTCTATATGGTCAATAGAAGCAATTTTGTTAGCTATTATATCATTATTAACTGATGCTAATCCTGATGATCCATATAATGCACGTGCTGCATTATATTATAGAGAAGATCGACAAAAATTCGATGAAATTGCACGATCTTGGACAAAAAAATATTCGATGTAAAATTTTTATATATTCTAATAAAATTATATTTTTATATTAATTATTTTGATTTGTAAGCTTTAGAATTATTCTCATCATTATAGTATCTTTTTCAATGCCAAATAATAAATGTATGAGATATTTTTCGATGTTACAATCTTATATATTTGATCACAGTGGCGGCGGAGCCCTTAGGCTTGGGAGGCTTAAGCCTCCCATAATAACAGAAAGAGAAGGCTTGGGGAGACTCAGATATTTGAAGACATTTTATGGATCTCATCCTGAACTTGTATTTAGTAAGCGAAAACTCTTTGATCAAGAGTGTGTTCAGCCAGATGTTAGATGGCGTCATAGAGAACGGAGTCATTAGGCCTCAGGAGTCTCCAGCCTTTTCAAAAAAAATGAAGAGGAAGCCTAGAGAGATTTGGCATCTTCTGACAAAGTTTTCTGAATCTCATTCTGAATTTATACCGAATGTTCGAAAACGTTATCCATATGATTTATTTTGTATATATTTCTGTATGCACAAATGCTAAAATCTTGAATTTTTTTTCAAAATATGTGATGTCGATGGTTTCTAAAAAAAAACTACGAAAAAATTCCTGCGGACTTCTTTTGATGAATTTTAGAAAACTGAAATAAAAGATGTATAAAACATTTCTAATTCCGATTATGTTGGAATTAACAAACATATTTTGATATAATAGCTATTTTGCATTTATTTTCGCATAGAAAAATGATAAAAACCTGAATGGTTTATTGCAAACCTTTTGGAGAGAAAAAAAGTAAAGATGTGCGAGAAACTGAAATTTTTCTCCATAATAACAGACTGAACGGGTCAGAAATGGCAGAATGATTATTAAAGTCAAGTTTGATGTACAAAAATTCGTTACTCAATTACAATGACACTATCAAAGTGATCCGTGTCATGCTCGAAAATCGTTTTAAAGATATAAAAGTGAACAACTAGGCGATTAATCATTTAAATAGAGGAACAAATTTAATTCAGAAAAGTGAAAAATTGTCGTATTTTGTACATCTTTGCTTTTAGCTCTCCCGAAATTGGTTAAGATAAGTCTGGAGAACGTTTTGCTTCTTCAAAAAAAAATCAAGGTTTTCAGAATTCTTGTACGAAGGTAAATAAGAAATATGTATGTATATTACAAATATTTTTACTACTTTCAGTATAAAGGGAAGTAGCAATATTTTATATATTCTATCCAATTTCCTAAGAACTCATCAGAACAGGTCCACATGACCTTGTAATGCAGTTGATACAGAGAATTCAACAACAGCTTCTAGGATTCGTTTTCAGAATATTTCTATAAGTCCCGAGACTGATGTTTTTATTTTAACATTAGATTGAAGAAATTAAGTCAAAGACAGACAGCTTACAAAGGTGAGGATTCACTCTTCCAGACCAGAGATTTTTTTAGTATAGTTAAATTGCATTTTATGATATTAAACAAAGAAATTCTGTGATTTAAATGGTTCCTGTAAAGACCAAGCAAATAATTCTCGAAAGATTGTCAAATTCAATGGCGCATCTTTTAAGAAAATTCCAGTAAGAGTTAGAATTAGAAAGCTAAAAAATCCTTCCTCCCTTTATACCACTCTCCCATCGCTGCCTGAAAAGTTTCGAGCCTCCCCTAGATTTGAATCGTTCCACCGCCTCTGAATTTGATCATATAGGTTTTATCAAACAATTAGGTCTATATTCTAGTATAGAATATTTTTTTGAAAATAAATATACACTATTTATTGAATTTGATTATATGAGTCATATAAGATTTATTAGAAGAAGATAAAACAATTAGCAAATATACGATCAATATAAGTCATCTTTTTGTAATAGATTTGTAAATAAAATGATTGAAGTCATTGAATTTAGAAGATGAAACTACAATGGAATATCAGTCAGTTTAATGTTGACTACTAATGATCATCTATAATCAATATCTATTTTCGATCTTTATAAAGTCTGAAATCAAAATCGAGCAATAAATATATCCTATGATAGTGTTCAATCTAGTTTACAAATTGAACACCTATTATTTTATTTAGGTTTCGTCATTTTGTTCCTGCCAAGGCTTTCTCTGTTTTTCGAAACATTGTAATTTCTGACAAAACAAATATGTTCCATGTAAAACACCAAAAACATTGAAAAATATACACTAAATAATATGGGTGCATGCTCTTCTGTATCTTTTCGCGTAAATGTAGTATATAGAATTATATTATAAAAGCAGTAAAATGTAATTTTATCAGAATAGTAGAGCTTAGAAGATACTATGGATTTTTTAATCTTTTATCAATAAAGAAAATTTTTATAAATATTTAAATGGATGGTCGGTAGAGAGCTGCATCTCCATAGCAACCGGGTCCGGGTCTAGATCCGGTATTTTTTTTCGTGGGGGTGAAAATTTGAAAAATGATCACGTAATATTTGAATCAACTATCTGAAATAGCTGGAATGGAGCGAATGTGTCAAATATTACGTGATCACTTTTTCAAATTCACCCCCATGAAAAAAACACCGGGTCCGGGTATAGACCCGGTCGGGTACGATTTGCAGCTCTCTAATGGTCGGTCAGTATACAGCTAACTACTCTCTGATATTAGACAAGTTAATAAGACATGATAGATCCTCAAGATATATTTGTGAATCATTGTCATCTTTCATAGATAATGATATAGTTAAATAAGAAAAAAAGATATTGTCTAGTTTATTGATTGATTAAGAATGAAGTAAACTTAGTTCGCTTTATTTGTACAGTCAGTTACAAATGTACTGACGAGGGAACCGTTTCATATCATAAATCTTTCTTGAATTCAAACTCTGTACATAAGATAGATTCCAGTGAGTTATGAAATATTCCCCAAAGTATAAGCGCTCTTAGGGTTGTCCTTCAAAGTTTTAGTTATTTTACTGCAATTATAGTTTATGACATAGTATATGTTGACAAACCAAATGATGACATTTCAATCTGAAATTTCACCCATAGTTAAGTCAACTTATGACGAGAATCTCTTGAAAATTTCAACTCAAAAGAATGTTTCTTTTACGAAATATTACACTCTCGAAAATCACTCATATCGAACGAAAGATGTCAGAATTTTATGTTTTATTTTGAGCTAAAATGATTAGGAAATTCGTCTCATAAGTAGATCTATGTGAACAAAACCTCAAGTCGAAATACCGTCATTCGACTTTTTGATACATACTGTGTCTTCGGGTAAAAGGCCTTAGAATGCTTAAATTTTGATGGATCTTTCTTATCTATTAGTTGAGTTCTACCCTATGTATTGCCTTCGAATTCAGAAAAGGTTTGAACAACCGAAGCGATTCTCTCGTCAGTACAGTCATTCTTGTGTGCTTCTCCTCTTTTTTCTTACACTGATCATGTTTCATATTTGTCTATTTTATTTTGGCTCTGTTGATGAATTTGTTCTTTTTTGTTTGACATAATGTAGGCGTTAATTTCTAGCAATAAACTATCGAAAAGAGAGAGAAGTTTAGTAGGAAATTATCATAGATGATAATTGTTTGCTTGAACATAAACTGAAAATATAAATTTCTTCTGATTAATAATCATTACTCAACATTTGTAAGAACTTTGAAAAAAAAAATTTTCGATCGAGTTTATAAAAGGTAAAAGAAAGCTAATTGTTTTTATTTTTTTATTCAAAAAAATTTCTTAAGTTCAAAACTATTTTAGATTAAAACTTTACTAAAGAACTTTTTATTATTTCCATTATTTAACAAAAAAGTATTTATTTTTTACAATCTTTTCAACAAAATTCTTTCAAAAATAAAGCAAATAGTCTTATTATTGAATCTATTCAATTCAACATCTACTTTTAGAACGAACTACTTCGCAGCAAAAATATTTTTTTTTATACGAAAATGTAATAATAATCTGATTACAAAAAGATTTATTGTGTTATACTTGTAAATCTATGTATGTTATATATAATTACGATCTATATAACATAATAGTAGAGAAGAAAAAAAAACGTTGATGAAGGACGCAATAATAATGACGAAAAAAAAAAGAAAGTAGAATACGTACATTTAAAATCAGTAAATAGTTGAATATTAATTATAAACAGTTCCTACTATCGATACTATATCACATTAGCACGTCCAATTAGACGGATGATCTCTATTTGGAACTATTTCAGTAAGTTTCTGCAGTTTTTCACAGATCGAAAAGAACAACGCGAATAAATTACTTTTTTCTCTTCGTCATCGTATATTCATTTCTTATTGATAAGTGAATATACTTAATCCAATTTTGTTTGGATTAGTGAAGCATAATTAATAAAATGTTTTTTAAAAACCATTCATCGATTATTGTTTTTCATTTTTAAAATCGGATTTAGAATTTGGACTATCCTTATGAAAATTGTTTTCTTTTAGTGTATTGTGTTGAGATACTGTTCATTTTAGATACATTGTCTTTCTTCGTCGACACATCACTCAACCATTTTCAAACAAAGTTCTTACAATATCAGTCGCATTATCGAAGAGTAATTTAACTGACTCTATATCTTCAACAAGCGGCACAGAGAGAGAGAGAGAGAGCAGTATTCTATGACATCATTAGTTCAATCGCCAGAAAGGGAAACAAGTGACTTTTATAGAGCTTGTTCAATCAATGATGTTCCTCGTGTGAAATGGCATTTAGCACATATGACTGTGGATGAAATCAATCGAGTTGCACCCGATGGAACTACAGCATTGCATGTAGCGTCCTATCATAACAATGCAGCTATTGTATATCTATTAATTAAACACGGAGCTTCAGTTTCGATTCAAAATGATTCAACGAAGCTTACTCCATACGAAGAGACAACTTCCACCTATATAAAGCAGCTTCTAACAAGTACAGGTAATAAAGCATGGATCGAATGGACTTTTATGGATCCACCGACACGTGAAACAAAGGAAATATTTGATACAACATTAGAGAATACGTTTCATAACATGGGTTTGTCATTTATACTCAATTATTTGCTTAATCACTATGCTCGTGGACATGTTGCGAAAGCATCTCCTAAATCAGCCAAAGAAATTGAACGGTAAGTGATGCGTTTAAAAAGAATTTAGTTCTTATAAAAATATGATAAATATTAGATAATATCAGCATTCAATATGAGTATTAGTCGCTTTGTTTCAATATCAAAGAAATGATTAAATACAGTCGGATGCATCTCAATAGTATTCTTTATCGATATCATGTTTATATCAGCATTTGTTTTTTCTTTGTCAAAACAGTTACAGAATTTGTCAATATAATAAAGCACCATTTCAATCATTTTCAGTGAATATCATATAACTATTATGAATTTAAGTAGCAAAACTAAAAAGACTAATCTTTTTATTATTCAGTTTGTACACTATTTAGTTTTATCAGATCAACACTTCGTCAACTGGTTGAATCGAATTTGATTAGGTGAAAAAAAATGCAACTTTCCATCAACATGTATTATTTAGAAGACGACATTTGTTTTCGATCTATGTTTATTGAGTGCTAGCTAATAAATGAAAAATACGCACCAGGTATTATATAAAATGGACAGAACTCGAAATATCATCGTTAAATTAATGAGAAGAGAATTGTTAATTCAGAAACAATTTTTGTTTCTAATCGACCACAATAATTCAAAGACATTATTCACAATAGATGAAAATTTTTGTCTTTGCAGAATTAATCATCATAGATTTAGAAATTTCCTAAGCTAAGAAGTTACTATGAGTTTATACTTGTCCATTGTGTAACTCTTTTAACTGATGAACTTACATATAGTCTGTCCATTTAAACTGCCAAAAATGAAGAGTTTTATAAATATACTACGAGGTCAACCAAATGTACTTAAAAATTAGAATTTGTCTATTTCGATGTGGCTTATTTGGATGAAGATACCCAATAGAAGAACCAGATTTTAATTGATATTTCAGTTTCTCAAATGATTCTTCATAATTTAATGGAAACTATGTTAAATGATGATCTGATTTTTAAACGCTGAAGATTTCATGTAAAAGAAAAAATATATAGAGTCGTTGATTTTCTTACTCAATATTGAGTTTGGCGAATTTTTACAATCTACAAAGGCACTATAAAAAAAATAGCCAATGATGAATTCTGTTATGAAAAAAAATAAAATAAAATTCTTAGCTTTCGTATAGATGATCTTTGAATAGTACTAATGAAATTATTTAAGAAAAAAGATAATTTTTTTCATCCCATTCAAATGTCAAGCAAATAGTAGAACGCCTTGAAAGAATAGTTTATCCAAGTCGAACCATCTTTCAAGTGTACCATTTAGTTTTTCGCCTTAATTTCAATATATACAAATGTTATAACATTACCCTCTCATTAGAGATATGCTAAAAATAATGGAAGAATATTTCATTTTTTTTTCAATTGTTCATTTTAATCACGACCTACTTTTACCAATTAAATTTTTCACTTTATGTGGAGTTATATAGATATTTCGAAGAAGCACAAAAGCAAACAAATTTGGCTCCCGTGATAACGGCATATACTGCACCTTCAATCGGTTTTTTCAAAATTGTCCGTAAACACTGCGTTGAGGTTCTTCCTGAACTCTTAAGAATTCCATTCGAACCACAGAATACCTTGGCTGCTAGTATTTTCTACTTAGTTGCTGCATGTAACTATGATCCGATGCTTCGACCCAGATATACTTATATTGGTCACGTTTATCGAGGTGTAAGAATGAGTATGGACTATTTTCTCACTTACAAGAAGAATGAACTGGTGGTAAATCGACCGTTCGTTTCGACGTCGAAAGAATGCAATGTTAGAGATATATTTAGTGGTTATGGTGCATCGAGTACATTTCAAAGAAGTAAATCTAGTCAAGTTTCGTTAGAAATTAGCGTTCGATGTACCTACAAAATTCGTCGTTCAGAAACTCGAGCAATCGATATAACAAAGATGTCGATTTTTGAACACGAACAAGAGGTGCTTCTTACGCCCATAAGTGTCTTTCGATTGGTCAGCATTGAAATTCATGCGAACGAAAATACAGCCGATATCGTACTCGAAGATTGTGATCTACCATCAAAATATGATCCCGTTGCCCCAATGGTACGATCTGATTTTACTGAATTCCCAATTACTCCACTGATTGTACCTTTCGTGCAGGTATGAACTTCTATCAAATTATTATTAGGAACTATTTAGACTTTCAATCAATTGTATCTTAAGGAAGAAATTTTTCTTATTATAAATTAAAATTATACAGCTTTATCGAGTTATTAGAGAAAAAATCCGAATTGAGTAGAGCTAAGACTTGTTATATATATATAGTTTTTACGTGATATAATGAACATTATGATTTTATTTAGTTGATACCCACTAATTCATTCACTTCTCCAACTATCATTCGAAGTCCAACTGATTGGAGAACACGACTGGCAACTATCATCATCAATATGACGAACAGAACTGTCATTATTTTGATCTTATTAGTCATTACTGTTTTTATTCTCGTGCTGTTGGCTATTCTTCTGCCAAACTTATTACGTGCTTCATGCAATGACAATACTGAGACACAAGTGAATAAGCCTCTTTTTGATTTTAAATATTAAAGTTTAAACAGCAGCGAAAATTGCAACTGCACAATGTATAAAGAAAGACTACCATTTTGACAGAATTTTTGCACTTTTTGTGCAAAAGTAAATTTTGTCAAAATAGTAGTCTTTCTTTATATATGATGTAGTTACAATTTTCATTGCTGTTAAAACTTTTATATCCGACATGACTATTTCTCAAGAGAAATAGAAATGACCCAAATCTGTTTCAATAAAATAAACATAAATAAAAAATAACTCGAAGTGAAGCTTTCGTGGATATTGTTGCATCCGATTTATAAGAACGTAAAGGAGATGCACCACGATGGCAGGGACCATCATAGCTACAAAGCATGTAAACACAATGAAATTTATTTCAGTTTCAATCTATATTATCTTTTTATAGGACTTCCAATTTTTTATAGATTCTATACTTTGTCTCAGGTTTTCAAATGATGGATGATTTTGTAGCAGAGTGAGCGGTGCAAGATTTCAACAGTACGCTTGTATTTTTGTAACGTTATTTTTTTTTAAATCTACGGATGTTGTTTGTCCTTTTGGTTTTGAATTAATATACACTACTAGCGAAAAGTATCTCTCTCCTCCTTGCATCTCAGTCACTACAATAGCTGTGGAACTAAAAACGTATATATATAGCTCTCGACCAATGTAGCAAACCAGCAGCAAAATCGGCGCCTCAATTGCAAGAAGCGCAACAGAGTAATAATGCTTGCAATCTATCATCATTGTAAACTTCATAATTCAGGAAGGAAAATACTTTATGAGTTTGGAATCCTCTCATTGTGTAACCGTATACTCTGGCTATATGTGGTTAAAATTTTATTAACAGTCATCGAGTCGATATGCAGCTAGAAAGAGTTTATTGTAAAGTAACAATGTACGGAAAAACCGCCCGATCTCATTGTTTAAGTCATAATTCGATGAAGCTTTCACCCATCAACTTCTAACTTGTAGAAAAAGCTCCTCTATACTCGCACGTTGTTCTTTGAAGTTCGCAGACTTATATCGCTTACTAGAGACAGATAGTGCTATGGTGAATATGGAGATATTCCCGTAAATCTACTAAAAAAAAAAAGGGAAATCTGCAGAATCTTTTAAGACTCTAAAAAGTGCTGTATTTTACTCCATGGTCGAAAGAATTCATAAGAATACACAGTTATGGAACAGCCAAATGAAATTTTATACAACAGAGACATTATATACGTAAAAAGGAGAGAGAAAAGCTGTTGAGAATACATATACATACCGATCTCACAGTAAGAAAAAAAAAGATTCTTAAATATTATTTATGGTATCAAAACGTATTTTAAAAGAATTGAAATCTATTGAAGATGCTTCAAGATGTTACAGTGCTACTATAGTTAATGATGATATATTTCATTGGGAAGCATCAATTATTGGTCCTGATGATAGTCCATATGAAGGTAGAGTTTATCGTCTTGATATTAGAATTCCATCGAATTTTCCAATTAGTCCTTCATGAATTCGATTTAAAACAAAAATTTATCATCCAAATATTCATTTCACTGGAGCTATCTGTATTGATATTTTACAATCTCAATGGAATTCTATATGGTCAATAGAAAAAATTTTATTAGCTATTATATCATTATTAACTATAGTAGCACTGTAACATCTTGAAGCATCTTCAATAGATTTCAATTCTTTTAAAATACGTTTTGATACCATGAATTATATTTAAGAATCTTTTTTTTTCTTACTGTGAAACCGGTACGTATATGTATTATCAANTCAAACAATTAGGTCTATATTCTAGTATAGAATATTTTTTTGAAAATAAATATACACTATTTATTGAATTTGATTATATGAGTCATATAAGATTTCTTACTACGTGAAATTTTTGTTTATAATTTATTCTGGATTAATTTTAGTGTGATTAAGAACTAAATAAGAAAAGCAGAAAATATTATTAAACTAATCTTGGAAAAAGTTGCGAATATATATTATTTGGTATTTGAGCAGCTTCAACAGGATGTCGACATATTGGACAAGTATTTTTCATTCGTAATGTACTTAACATACAATCATAATGGAATATATGTGGTGTTTTTGAAGCACATGGCCATTTAGAATATGAATCATTTAATTGAAATTCATCTAAACAAATCATGCATTTGGTTTGATTTTGTACCATACCAAAATCAATTTTATTATTATTATTATTATTTTGTATTCGAAAATTAGCAATGAATCGAGGTGAAGCTGAAGTAGTACGTTCAAATATGCGTTGAAGGAATTGTTGACGTTCAAGTTTGAGACGTTGAAAATTTTCTTCTTCACGAATGAATTCTTCTAATTGTGTAGCATGTTTAGTTCTTGCTTTCATTGATTTTCGTCGTTGGCGAATTCTACCATGATTGATCGTATGAAATAAATAGTTCGAATCTTGCTGATTTTGTTGATATCCATATTCGTTTTCTCGTTCGTGTCGAAGACGATATTCATACCTAAAAAGAAAATAACAAATTCTAAGACTTTTATTGATTCCAGAGTAAAAGATTGTTGCTTGCCAATTTCTTTAACGTTGATGAGTGTTTTCTGCAGATAATGGATAGTTCGAACGTTCCTATATGCGCTAACTATTTTGTTCAAATATGATTGACGTTGTCCTTCTACAAACTTTGCTTACTAGTGTGTTTCATGGGTATGATAGTTTCGTTTGACATATTATGTAATTATATATTGTCTAGTCTGAGACATGTTTGCAACACAAAAAGATCCGTTGATCTTTTTTGCGGAATTTAAAAGGCATGAAATGTAGAAGAAGTATTCTGGTTACATAGGTTGATAGCTTCTTATAATTATTATTATACGGTAAAAAACGTTTTTTTTTTATCCTAGTGTTGTTAGAGAAAAGCCTATCTTGATGATGAAAATATGCATTTGAATACTTGAACTATTTTATACAAAACCAGATTAAAATGTTCTTGTTAAAAGAAGTACGATTTCGTTTTGTATTTACTTTTTTTAAATGAAAATTTGTTAAATCAAATTTTGGAGTTTCAAAAAATTTTAGATATCTGAAAATGATTAGTTAATTCTTAAAAGTAAATCAAGCTTTTACAAAAACAAAAAAAATGCGGTCGATGGAATGTTCATTGGAAATGTTTCAAACGTTAATCTAATCTACTACATCTAACTGAAATACTTTGTTAATAAAGTTTGTAGAAGAATTCTATTCAAAATAAAATAAACTTGTTATAATACTTCTCATTGAGATACAGGCGAAAACAAATTAATAGAAAACTTTGCTTCGTTTGTTAAAAGTAATTTACATAAATGTAGTTAACACTAACATTACTCACTGTTTCTTGTAATCGTTACTTATTTGTATTAATTCTTCATGTAACCAATCTGAACAATTTTGTTCATTTGGTGGCATTGTTGGCCATGAAATCCAAGATGAATCTGGTCCATAACAAATACCTTCATACTCAGTAATTTTTCGTATATCAGTCACAGGACAAATAATAAATGGAGATAATTCATCTTGAGCATTCAAATTTTCATTAAGGTTTTTTCTTAAAATAATTACAAATAAATGTTCAGAATAATTTTCTATAATGAATAATTGATTGTTATATATATGTTTACTTTGTCGAATAAATTCATCTAGTTGTAATAATTGTTCATGAGGTGAATTATCAAGATTTAATAACCAAAGTTCTTCTACTATATCAGACCATAAAGCTAAAGGAAATGATAATAATCCAAATTTATAAAAAAATTTAAAACGAAGTATATTTGAGACATAAATTGTAAAATTATATAAAGATTTCAATAATAACCAAATTAAAATTAATCCACAAATGAATAATTTATAAAATGAGTAATATTGACATATAGCATTAAATGCTATATCATATGAATAGAATGTATGTTCTCGAGTTGGTAGAAAAGCTTTTTCATGAACTGGTTGATATAAATATCCAATTAGAATTCCACATCTAGTTAATACTGCCATATTAAATCGAGTAGAATTTGCTGTATATTGTTCATTTATATAATTAACATATTCAGATTTTTCAACCCATGTTCTATATGTGAACGCTGAATCTAATGGAAGATTTCTAATAATACATTGTAAAGTTGAAATTGAATATGATTGAAAATGAAATGGAAGTCGTGATTGAGCATGTTTTTGCCAAATAGTTGGTAATTTGATATAAATCTTAGGCTTTTTTAAATGTTTAAATGTTGCAATATGATTTCGACGTGTGCGTGGATCGGAATAATATCGAATAGTTTCATAAGTATTAAGCGGATTTTGAATATTATTTTCACCTAATTCAACTTGAATATACTCTTTTTTCCAAAACCATGACTGATTATTTTGATGATAAGTTTCTACATGTTTAACAAATTCGTCTAAATTGAGATGAAAAGGACCAAGAAATGAATTGTAAAAATAAATATGTCCTCGAAAAAATAACACGATAATTAAAATAAATATTATAAGAAAAGCAAATGAATATTGAAAATGTTTAACATATTTTGGTTGTTTTAAAAGACGATGTTCAATACTATGACGATCAATTAAATGAGTTAAGGGATATTTCGAAGAAGGATATAATTGACGATTTTTATTTGAATGTAAATAGAATGATGATTGTTGGAGTTTTTGAGTATTTTCCATCGTATCTAAATGAAACATATGTTTAATTAAGAAGGTTATTAAATTTAAAATAAAACTTGTGAAATTTAATCTCGAAAAATTTTTTAACTATCAATTTATTTAGAAAGAAAATAATTGTGTGATACTACTTTGATGTTTTTCTTTCAATTTGATTATAAACACAGTTAGTGAAAAGAATTAGAAACATTTATTTTTTTCGTCTTCTGTTGCATGACGATACTGTAAATATTTTTCTTTTGTTTTTGTTGGAAAAATGTAACATATCTTTTTTTCTTCCTTTCTGTCTCTCTCTCTCTCTCTTTTAGGCATGATCGAAAAAAATGGTCATCATATAAATTCTTTTCCGATTAGTCATCATCACGTAAGTGTAGGTTTCTTGAGAAGAAAAAAAATATATATGTGAGTCTGTAATATATAATAATTATATCAAATATAATGAAATGTGCCGAATTCAGCAATTAATAATAAACAAAAATAGAATATTTCTACTCAAACCTTATCCTTGCTAAAGTAGCTACGAGTGTTACTCTTAGATTTTTTTCCCATATATAATGGTTTCTCGAAAGAAATGTGACTGGGAAGAAACTATATGAATTCGAACACTTTTTTAACATTGTTTTTTTATACTTTTTTTTTCTCCTATGAGTTAGAAGCAAAGTGTTAACATGTTAAATGGAGTGATTCATCAATGAAAAAAAAAACTTTCTCAAAATATATCACCTCAAGATGAAATCTATGATCAATCAAGTTCATTATTAAATTCAATGTTTAGCAAGATAAAATAATGTTCTCAATAGACAAATTCCATTCTATTTATTCTACATGATTTTACGAAGTTACCAAAAATGTTTTAGTAACAAGAGATGAATCAAACGAAAAGAATGAGATAGCTGAGAAAACGTTATGATTATTATTGTTTTTACAATCATGAAATTTAAGAAAAATGAAATTTATGATCTATCAATGCTGATTAATAAGACAAAAATAAAATATACCTGATTGTGTAATGACGCGGATATTTACGAATGTTCGAAAAATGTTATTAGAGTTCGTACGGAGATAGCCTTTGTTTATTATTGCAAAAAAAGATCTAATCTTTCAAGTAAATCTCACTCTTTACTGTGGTTCAATTTTATTTCTATATTTATGTTTTTCATTCTTATTATGAATTTATTGTCATACATATGTTCATTAGAAAACTTTCAGAGAAACAGAACGGAGTAAAACATATATTTCTATATGAACTGTAATAGTGACTTTCAATCATCTAGAGAGTAGCGGGTCCATGTTTTTATGGACTCGGACCCGGACCCGGACCCGGTCGGGTTCAGATCCGGACCCGACCGGGTCCAGACCCGTTAAGTGTTTCGCCGATATCTAGCACCGTCTGTATATATGAACAAGTGAAGACTCATGGTTTCAGCTAATTATTGGCTATTCTCAGAGGAAAAGTTTATGTACAGGTATTTCCTGTTGTTCGCTTGTTCATTATGCAACGTGATGCTTAATAATTAAGATTTTATTGTTTAACTGAAAAAAATATTATGCTAACCGAAAAGAAAATTAAAGAATTAATTGATAATCAAAACTGATCATTGAAAATTCTCAAACCAACAGTAATTTATTAATATTCGTCTACTTTTTTTTCATTTTTCTTGTTTTTTTCAACTTCATTTGTTATTTCTATTTAAAATGACTTTTTAATTACAAAATTAAAAATAGCCAAGAAATTTTGAAATAGAATACAGAAAATATTATACGTTAATCTGAACTCTCCAGTACTTAGATTCGCAGTTGAATGCAAACCGGGTCTGAAAATAAGTCACATATGGACCCGGATCCAGACCCGGATCCGGGTGATATCAAATTTCTAGACCCGGACCCGGACCCGGCCGGGTCCAGACCCTGGTCCGGGTCTGGATGGACCCGCTACTCTCTACAATAATCTATAAATGTTCATATCATTAATTGACAAGATATGTTAAAATTTCGTTCTTGTAATGTTACGTAAACGAGTTATAACTATCATAGGACTTATCATCCGTCGTCTCAATTTTTTTGTTGTTTGAATCTTTTTCGCTTGTAAAAACATATTTGACAGGTTCTGTCATATCAATCATATAATATATTAGACATTATCTTTGAATTGCTTATGATTGCACAAGTTTATTTTACAAAGAAAATATTTATAGATTAAGTCTAGCAGTAATTACCTGCCAGATACGTTCTATTCAAAATAAATTAAAGCCAAATTTTTAAATCATTTCCAGTTTTTTCAGCTCGAAATATTTTATTTGATGATATTTTTCCTAAAAGTGTATTTCGTTTTAACCATTCTTGTATATCACGTGTCATTGCTAAAGATTCAATTTCTTTTTCCATTTTTATTCGATCAATATAATCTTCATCTAAATAATCTGGAATATCTTCTAATACCATTTCAAGATGAATTAAATGTTTCATATTTACAAGACATAAATTGACAACTTCAGCAGTATTACAATACCAATCAACTTTTACTGACAATAAAGTTAATGATGGAAATAAATTTGCTAGTTCAGAAAGAAATTTTTCATCAATATCACCTTCTGTATATAAATAACATTTTTTAATTTGTTTTAAATATTTTTTAAGTGGTCGAAGAAAATCAAGAACTAAATCAGTCATATTTTCCACCCAATAAAGAAAAAATCCAATTGATTGAAGATTTGGAGATCGACGAATGATTTGTTCAACAAATGTAATTAAGAATATATTATTCATATTTAGAAATTCTCCTAATAGATCAAGACTTCGTATATGTGAAAATATATAATGATCTGGAAAAAATAATGATTCAGGAAATGTTGAAAATATTTTATTATCATCGATGAACAAATCATTATATAAAGTTATTTCTTGACAATGTCGAAGTTTGTTTGCCAATTGTAATCCAGTTGTATATCGTAATTCTTGAATATCAAACTCCAAATTAGACTATGATAAAAAAGAAAATTAAATTAATATTAATGTATTATAATTGATTGAGAGATCAATCTGAAGTCTTTAGCAATTTCATGAGAAAATTTCATATTATCTATCTATACGATAATGTATAATAATACAAAAGTAATCATCTAGAAAAATATTGAAGAAATCCATCATCATCGTGTATTGTTTAGATAAGGTTTTGTTTGTGACATATACATTGAAGTTAGAGAAGTCAGATCTACACTACTTACGAGGGAAGGTCCCCAACTGATCAATCGCTTTTGCGTTGAGGCTATGTGCATTATGTAGGTACAAAAGAGTTATGAATATCCTGAAAAAAGTTTGGGCTGCTAGCTTATTGCTACGGAGATACTGCACTTTTACGGTATGTTTTTAAATGAAAGCTGTGGTCCCCCTCAGGAACACCGGAAAAATTGATTTTTGAATTTCGACTTAAAACTTTATATATAAACAGACCTTACCGAGAATAGTATTTTNCTTTCTATTTGTTCTTATCCTGAAATGACAACATCAAATCTTTTGGTTTATCTGAATGACATTATCATAGTTGTATCTACCGATAACAACAACAAAAAGATCTGAAACCGTTACAAAATACTATTCTCGGTAAGGTCTGTTTATATGTAAAGTTTCAAGTCGAAATTCGAAAATCATTTTTTCTGGTGTTCCTGAGGGGGACCACAGCTTTCATTTAAAAACATACCGTAAAAGTGCAGTATCTCCGTAGCAATAAACTAGCAGCCCGAACTTTTTTCAGAGTATTCATAACTCTTCTGCACCTACATACTGCGCATAGTCTCAAAGCAAAAGCCATTGATCAGTTGGGGACCTTCCATCGTTAGATGATTATCGTGTCCTTTTTTTTCTTTTTATACAAAGTAAACCTATAAACAGATAATTTGGTTATTTTCAAAGGAAATTTTTGTCACTTGACATTAATAACTTTTATCTGAACAATTTGCAATTATCATGGATACTTATTTTACATGTTTACTTGTATGAGAAAAAAATCCAAGTCAAAATTATTTTTCGATCGATTACTAAATCATCTCTCTATAAAATAATTTCGATATACACTTTATAAAATGGAAATTTTTTTTTTTCATAAATATTTAAAATAAAACTAGAGATTTTAATTGTAAATCACTGACGTCATGTTTCATATGATTAGTATTTTCATTGTTGTTATAAAGTTGAATATTAATTGATCGAATAGAAGTGCGAGAAATGTTTGCTATGATTCGTACAAAATCAGTTTCAGAACCACTCGATGAATTTAAAATACATTTAATTGAACAATCCAAATCAATAAGATCATGCAATTCAACACATAAATTACGCCATTTATCTATATTAATATAATCCGAATTAGCAACTTCTTTTTGATTTGTTTCCGACTTTAATGTACATGAAAGATGTCGAATATTTGGTATATTGTGTAGTATGGATGTAAATTGATTAAATGATAATATTTCAGGATGGAATCCTGCTTGAAAACGAAAATCGATCAGTGATAAACATTGAATCTTTCGTGGATTACATAAAACATTGCAACTGAAAAAAAAAATGAGATTTTTAGTTTCAAATAGGTGTGTAAATTTATCTTTGTGTTTTCTTTAAAGAAAAAATAAATAAAGAAAAGAAAAATTTGTCTTTTAAAGTATTGACCGCAAACCATGCTCATATACTTTCACAAACAACACTACAACACTTCATGTTATTAAAAAGCTAAAATATTATATATGATAATAAATAAAAAAAGAAAATACATGTAACTCTTTTGTTGTGTCTATATCTTTTTACTATTTTAAATGAATTAGAATAAAGAGAAGAACAAAATAGAAAATAAAAAGTTATCAAAACCGCAGAGCCGCATATCTTTATCTGAAAGTAACTAAAGTCAATGATAAATAGATGAAAATGAAAATAACTACAATTAATACATTGATAATGATTTGAAAAAGAATCCTGAACATGTATTTAGACTAGACAAAATAATCGATTTCATACAAAAATTTATCGGCTTGTTAATTAACTTAGAAGATACTGAAAAGCACAGTTTATTCCTTTATTTTCTTGATGATGTCTACAGTTATCATATTTTCAAATCGACAACATTTCATATGATAGAATCTCATATAATTCCAACTAGATCACATTGTAATATCCATTCTACTGTACATTTTCCAATGATAGACAAGTTTTTTATTACAAAGTAAAACTAAATTAACAAACCTACGTAGTTTCAAATTGCATGAATAAACAAACAATGTCCTTAAAATTTATAACACATGAGAAGATTTTGAAAAAAATATCTTTCTATTCGATTTTATATGACATTAAGAAATATTAATATTAAATCAAGTTGGAATATATTTAATTTGATAAATCTAAGCAAATAATTTGTTTCTTAAGACCGCTAAGATTGAGAAGAGACAACGACAATAACTCCGAAAATAGATTTATAGACAATCAAAGAAAATCATTAAGTTCTACTGAAGAAAAACAAAAATGTTCCAAGATTGAGAAAAGATCAGCTCTCCACTGCTCGAGACATTTCTGATTATATTGCCACTTTCTGCTTCGTATACTCATTTTAATAATATTCTATTCATCACAGAATTGAATAGATTGAAAAGAACAGTGAAATCCCCAAACAGGAAATAAATTAGAAAAGTTTCATCAACGATAGGCAAAGAATCTCAACAAAACAAGACTATATCACTTACAGATTTGATGACAATACTGTTAATTGTTTCATATTAACATTTAAATATTGTAAACAATCAAATCCTGTAAAAATTATAATAAGATCATCAGTATTTTCAATTTCAATTGTTAAATTTGTAATTGTTTCATTATATAGTGGTGTTAATTTTAAATATCCAGCTCCAGTTAATGATAGTTTTTCTAATGTTAATGCATTACGTCTTCGACGTTTTGGAGTATGATCAAAATAAATAAAATTATCTGTTAACATTTGAGTAATAAAACTACATAGTATTGTTTCATTTTTATTTTTGATAAAATTAATTTTTAGTTCTTTAAGATTTTTTAAAATAGAAATTAAAGGCAAATAAAGATCTAATTCATCATCATAATGATCCATAAGTGTTAATCGTTCTAAATTTGGTAATATATGTGCAAATGGTTCAATTTGTTTTCGAAATAAAATAAGTTGTCTTACAGTTGGTGCAGAATTTGAAAGAATGATTGAACGTACATTATTACCAAAACGAAATCGTATCATTTTACAAAAAAAATAAAATTGACGTAAATTTAAAGAACGTAAATCAATATTTTGTCGATATTGATTTATTGTACAGTTTAATCGATAATTTAAATCATTAAATGTTTTAATTATATGAAATGGACTCAAATATGAACATATAATTAATAAAATTTCATCGGGTAATTGTTCAAACGACATACAAACTATTTTTTCACTTGATGATGATTGTTTATGATGCATAGAATAGAATTTCTCTTGAAAATAATATAGGAACTAAAAGAAGAAGAAAAAAGAAATGATCTCGACAAATTTGTGTTCGGAAATACATGATGAAAACAAAAAAACAACGACATCCTTATATTAACCTTGATGAAAAAACTAAATGTTATTGATTCTTGCGTTCTGTTGTTGATATTTTACAGAAAGTCTCTATTTTACAAATATAAATTCTTGTAAAGATTCTCATGTCAACGATTATCACAATAGAGAAAACAATTTTTTTTTAGAATTACAGCACAGTATATGTCACCCTTACTCGAGAAAAAAAAATAATCGAGACAATCTGAAAACAGAAAAGAAACAACAAAAATAAAAACAACGTGCACCGCAATAATAACAACGTCTCATTTCATGAAGGCATATTTAACATGCGAACGAGAATATTTTCTTGCAAAAGAAGAGTTGTTTCTATAAATGATTTTTGTTCTGAATGTTTTCACTGGTCGATACAAAACTCTAGAAAATCAATTTACAGATCTTATTGTCCACGGAGAACATGACATTTACTATAGATAAGAGATCTTCATAAATGATTAATATTTGTTGACAACGACAATACTATCTTGTAGGAACCTAATGCATTGAGTGCTAAAAACAAAAGTCTCCAATTGTTCTAGAAAAATATACTTTTTTATTATTCAATTTATTTTAAAAATAATTTTCGGTCGAAATACTGACAATATTTTTTGACTGTTATATATTAGTTGTTAACAAAAAAAGTAATTATTACAAAACTGATTAGTTTAGATACAAATAAAATTGATCGATTCGTTTGAATAGATGAAATAGCATGATTACAATAATCCGTATTGCAACAATAACGTCCAGGAATAGTCATGCTAGCATTGCAAGTGAAACTGTCACCTATATAGATTAGATATATTCAAAAACAAAACTATATAAGACAATATAAATTCTCATACCACAACCACGTTCAGCTACATCGAAAAAAATATTATTTTTCTAAATAAAAATATGAATCATTTGAAATTTTAAATAAAATAAATTTTTTAATCATACAACACAAAATGTTTCTGAATTTGAACATTGATATTTATTTGCATCGATTACACAAGGTTCTTTTGTTGTACATGCACTATGTTTATAACATAAAATACCTATTTGTTATTAATAAATCAGATAAAATAATTTCATAGACAACTGTTTGATTGAATTATATTTAAAAATTTATAATACTCTAGATCAAACATACCTTTAGTAATTGGTACTAACAAGAAAATCAGAAAGAATACGATTAAAAAATACTTCATCATTCTTATTACTGATTTTATCAAGTTTTCGTAGGTTTGTATTTTAGAAATAGTTCTAAATACCTTTTTATAGGATCAATCGAATATTATTATATTTATCGAAAGAAAGTAGGATAATCAATATTGATATAAGTATATTTATTTCATACAATTCATTGTATAACAAAAATGACAATTGAAAAAACAAAGAATCATACATCACTGATCATGTTCTTTGGTATTAATCGAAAGTAAATTTAATCTCATTCTCAATTCTTTGTTATTGACAAACACCAACAGTAATAAAAATAATACTTGAATATATATTAGTCATTTATTCCATTTTTTTAATTTATTCGATAATAAAAATTCTATCTTTGTATGTGTATCAATCTAGATAGTGATTAATCCTGTGTAGAACATAGAAAAATTTAAATCAACATAAACATTCAAATGATGAAGAAGAACATATAGACAAAAAACAAAATATTTCATTACTATTCAATTATTCATTTTTCTTAAAATATTTCTAATTGAATTTTTTTTTCCTGTATTTATAGATTTTTCGTCTCTTTTCTATCGTTATTAGTCTGTATAGTACATTGATAAATAATGAATAAACACCTATATTTATATATGATTTATCTCTTATTTGCTTTCTTTTTAAAAATAAACAGAAATAAACAACGTTTTAAGACATATCAACATCATTCGATTGTGAATTTTCATTATTAGATTCTGTTACGAATAAATCAAAATCGATGATTTCTAATGAACGAAAAAATTGTTCGAAATCGTGTGATGTCCATCGTGAAGCATTTTGATTTTGTTGATCATTACTACTACTTTGTTCACTAAAATTAAATTGATTTTTCTTTCAGATAAAGTTAAAATCAATCGTAAATATATACTTAATAAAAACTGGATCATTGAATGAAATAAGAATATCTGTTGCAAGATCACCACCCAAGCGAAGAAGACAAACATGAATATGAACCAGATTTTTTGCTTGTTCATGATATTTTGATATTTGTTGTCGACCAAATAGATACCAAGCTGAGGATAATCTTTACAAAAAAAAAAACGATTTTATAAATCATTCTGAATCAGAGATGAGCACAGGACAAGATTTTCCGTCCTGTCTTTTATTAACCCCCATCCTGCCGCTCAGCAGGACAGAACCGGAATTTTAGTTTCACCCTGCCCTGGTCACCGCACCGTGTAATCCTGTCCTGCCGCTCAGCAGGACAGGACAAACTTTTTAGTTTCTTCCTGTCCTGCTTACCGCACGCTGTTTTTCTATCCTGCCGCTGCGCAGGACAGGACAGGACAGGACAGAATACTAAGCGGTAAAAATAATGCATGTTTTATTTTTTCTTAAGTAAAGCATATATTGCATCTCTTAGAAATTCTATGACCAACTTATTCCTTTATACTTTTCATTCATCACAATTCTATTCTTAAATAACAGTTAAGCCAATAAGAAGTAAAAGTAAAGACGAGACGTCGANTTTTAGTATCGTCCTGGCCTGCAGGACAGGATACAGGACGGCCGCCCCGCCCCGCCCTGTGCTCATCTCTGTTCTGAATTCATATAAAGAAAAACACAATAAATTCTACCGTTGAACAATAAGTGAATTGATTGGAATTGATTCGATTCTATCGACAGTATGATCTTGACTACTATTAGCATCATTTGCTTCAGCTAATGCATCAAAATGATATCTAAATTCTAAAAATTATTTTAAAAAACAAGAATAAATATTCTTACTTAATAGCATTTTCATCAGATACTACATCAACTCGTTCAAGAATTGCAACAATTATACTTTGATCAGATTCAGCATGTATATATACTTCTTGATTATTTGGAACAAGTCGAATTGAACTTAATAAATTAATGATTATCGTTTATATTTCATATAGAGATTTAAATATATAAATATACCTTGCATCAATAGCTCCATCAGGTAAAAATGCTTGAATAGCACCACCAAATAAAGGACGTTTAATTCGAGCCATATTGAATAAAAAAAAAAATTTCTCAAATAAATATATCTAAAATCATAGGTTTTTAAATCAAATTGAATTTTCTTTCTAATACAATTCTAAGAATAACCAAAAAACAAAAGAAAGAAAGAAAAATTAGTTTTTAGCAAGTTCTTGGTTTTGTTGAAGTTCTTTTTCTGCTTGTCGTTTTTTTAATTTTTCATGATAAGCTTCAAATACAGAATTAGAACCAGGTTGTACATCTTGAATTTCACGACGAATCTTTGATAAATGATCACGATTATGATATGTATAATTACGAAGTATAGCAAATGTTGTTAAACCAGTAAAAATAACAGCACCAATACCAATAAATATATTTCGATGTTTAGCATACATATGTTGCGATAATAAAGACATAGCATCATGATCAACCTTATTAGATGATGGTCGATAAAGACTCATAACGTTTGAAATAAAATAAAAATTATCTGAATCATAAAATTGCATAAGTAACATGTAAGTATTGTGCAATTCAAGAAAGATAAAAAACAAAAACAAGAAATATTACGTCAATATTTCAGTTATTGCTTTCATAGATTGAAAGACTAATGTTATTAAAAATCTTCATACTTTTAACAAAATTAGCTATTTTCAGAATAGTAATTAATTGAAGCTTTTTCAATGAAGAACTTCATGTATTTTTATATTTCGAAAAATATTTATTTAATGTTTTCTTTTTTTTTTGTTTGTTCAAAATATCTTTCTAAATATTTATAATTAAATAAAAATTTATCATTCAAACATAATTACTTAAGATTAAATATTCAAAATACAGAACTTCTTAAAAATCAATATAAAAGATAGGAATAATACAATCATATCATTAAGTTCATGATATAATTTAAATTTTTGAAAGAAATTTATTCAAACAAATGAATAAGATATATCTTTCTTTTCATTCGTTCATCTTTATTTGACATTCGTATGTTTTTGTTCATTAAGTTGCAGATGTTAATTTTCAATACGTACTAATTGAAAAAAAAATCAGATGAAAACTATTTAAGTGATTCATCAATATTCCAGCTAAGTAAAAGATTATTTCAGTAAAAAATATAGATTGATATATTATAACTATTAAACAATATGCTTGAAGAAAAAACATCGATAAATATCTTCTTCAAACAAAGTTCTCAGAAGGACAAATATTAATTTAGTTGAAATTTTAGTAAAATAAAAATCTAACAATATTCACTGTTTCTATTATAAGAGATAGTCAACATGTAATGAACATTGTTTATGTTGAATCTCTTAGGAATAGGGTTCATATTTAGAGAAAACAATCAATCAATCGTTCTATGGATGGAATCTGTTGGTTCTCGTTATAACCGATGCAATTGCTTTATAGATATACCTTTAAAAATGTCCGAAGAAGAGGTCGCTAGTGGATTGATTATCTAAACCTTTTAACTGAATATGTGTGAAACACATATATTACCTTCCAAAGTTAATTAGACAAGAGCTATTTCATTATTAGTATTTTCTTTGTGATCAAAATAGACTAAAAGAACATGAGTGATATTTTCATTCCGCAACAATATTATAATATTTAAAGGGTAAATAAGGGTTTGCTAAAGGTAAAATAAAATAAGACTTGTGTATACTAATAATAAAACAAAAAGATAATGAAAATATGATATAAAATGCGTTTTTTTTTGTATTTTGATCCTCATTTTTATCATGAGCCGGTATCTATCTCGATAGTAGAGAATTCAACTTCTTGCTGCATTTTTAATATTATCACTCTTCGGATAAGATGTTGTTATGCATGTTCTCGACAACATTTTTTTCTATAATATATTTTTTAATTTCTTGTGGTTCAGTGTATGGTTGGGGTCCAGATGGTCATTCTCTTACAGCTGCCATCGCTCAAACTCTATTGACTAACGAATCATTAAATTTTGTTCGTAATCATTTACCTTGGTATACATCAGGAAATATCAGTATGTTAGCTTCATGGCCTGATTATATAATTTATCCTGATACAAATCCTGTTGATTATCTTAATTGGCAATGGTCAAAAGAATTACATTATGTTGATACTGAAGATTGGTCATGTGTTTATAATCGAGATCAAGATTGTAATTGGAATAGTGGACAAGAATGTGTTGATGGATCAATTCAAAATTATACAGCAAGATTAGCTGATACACAACAAGATGATATACAACGAAATGAAGCACTTAAATTTCTTATTCATTTTATTGGTGATGCACATCAACCATTACATGGTGGTTTTCGAGGTGATCGTGGTGGTAATAGTATTCGAGGTAAAATTTTCATCATATAAAAGAAAATGAGTAAATATCTAATTTTATTTTATTTTGATTTAGGTCATTTCTTTAGTAAAGAAACAAATCTTCATTCACTTTGGGATACTGTCATGATTGAGCGTCGTATTTCTCAAGATTTTCATTCTCAACCTTTATTGTATCTTGATTATTTGATTAATCAGATGAAAACTCGTTATGCACAAAATATTTCCGATTGGACACATTGTCCATCATCGGATGAATCACGTTATCTTGCATGTTCTACATCATGGATTATGGAAGATGCAAAACTTAATTGTGAACTTGTTTATCGTGATGAAAATAATCAACCAATGAGTGTTTCAAAAGAATTTAATCTTGGTCAAACATATTATAATACACGAATGGTTATTCTTGAACAACGACTTATTCAAGGTGGATTAAGATTAGGAACAGTTATTAATAAAATCGTCCAATCGACCACTGATAACAACAAATCAGACAAGATATGTTTCGGATCAATTATGCTTTTAGCAGCTGTTGTGTGTCTATCTATTGTAATTCTCTCTCTGTTGACTTATTGTTGCTTACGACGAAAAAGAACACCAATAATTTTATCATCAATGATGAGAGACAAGAACCCATACATGACAATAGCTTAACTGATTTATTTTATTTCCTATTTTTTTGTAGAAGGACTTGAATCGAATCTATTAAATCTTACATATACTATTTTTCAATAAATCTTCTTTGCATACTTTCATAATGATTTGCATGTTTATATAATACGCATTGTCATCGATTTGAAAAACCTTTTAGAAACAAGGTAGAGTTTAGAATAGCTAATTGGTTGAAATAAACCAGAATCTTACTATGAACATATCTCAAATAATAATGGTGGAAAGAAGACTCGCTTATTCTTATCTTGTATCTATAACATTGAATGCGATAGAAATATTATTTAAATTTAGTCCAACGGATGTCAATTTTCATTTCAAAAATTCAAACTTCTGTTTTTTTTTTCAGAAATAGACCACATTAAAAAAAAAAAAGATGGATTTCTTTAAAATAACTACTTGCGTCTTCTATGAATGAAAGAAATTCATAAAAATACACAGAGATTTTTCATAGTTTAAGATAGTCAGTTCCTGTGGTATTGACATAAAACCGTATTATTTGATTATGGAATAGTAATGAATACATAGATCAACTTTCCATCATACTCTACACCGCCGCATATTGCTCTTGCCCAATCATCATTAATAGCAGAACACATTCGAATATATGAAATATCAGTGGGTTCGATAAAAATCTTAGCTGTTTGACAATTACCATCAAAGACGTACTCAACATTGCTACCGATGATTGCATCACCAACGCAAGGAGCAATCCAAGTTCCATCTCGACGTCGAACATCTAGCGAATATTTTGTACCTGTTATACGTTCATTCCAACGAAGAGCTATCTGTTTTGTAATACCACCTGGTAAGTAAAAGGCTAATTGATCCGATACTCCATCATATTTCATCTCGACAAAATCTTTCCATATGTTATTCCTAGAATAAAATAATCTGAATGCAATAATATCACCTTTATCTACTAGTTGGTTGCCGCTGTCCGGACATATGCCAACATATGTTGTGCTTAGCGTGCCTCCAATGCGAACTACACTAATGCACGGACCAATTGCGGAGCCATCCTTCTTCACTACATCAATGGAATATTGATATAAAGGTAGTTGAGTCCAACGGATATTGATTGTGTTCAATGTGTATATTGATCCATCCGGTCGAAAAGTGAGACGTTGCTTAAAAGTACTTCGTTCGATCAGACGTCCTGTACTATCAAAAATACCTTGATGAAATACATTAAAGAACTGACCACGTCTGACAACTATAGAATTATGTCCATGACTTTGAACCAGTTTTCCTGCTGAGTTGCGTTGTGCAATAGAATGAACACGTACTGCACGTTTGCGTGTCAGGTCAGCAATAGTCGGCGCCATCACGTAAGACATTGCATATTGACTATCGAAGAATGCTGTACTAATGAAAAAATAATATTGTCCATCACGCCAGAATACTTCAGGTGCTTCGTTGATTTTTTCTTCACTGGAAGGAATAGGAAAAGAAGCAGGACCAGCATTTGCAATCAAAGTAGTTGGTGAAGCAAATGGAAATGAAGCTATATTATTTCCATCTGAGAACCATACATAAAAAAACCAACGATTATTCTCAGGTCCAACAACGGCAGAATCGATTCGAATTGTCTTCAAACATCCATCAATATTACAACCTGCAGCAATTCTTCCTTTAGGAGCTCCAATGCCAAAATCCACTAGTATCGGTGTACCAAAAATAAGATTATCGTCAGGTGCTCTTGCATAGAATGTAGTAACATCTTGTTCATTTGCTGGACAAGGTTTACCTTTCAATACACGTTGAGCAGAAAAGTATAAATCGTAACCGGTACCACGTTTTGAAAGATCAGGTGCCCAAATGTAACAGTAATTATACATAGAATCGGATATCGAAGGATCATATGTAAATTTTAGCTGAAAATTGATCAGATCGGTAGATTGAAAGATTGGTAAGCTCATGGCATTGGAAGTACCCGTTAAGTAAAATAAGTCGTCGTTTATTGCTAGAATATCTGGATCAGCGAGTCCAGGCATAAGATGAGTTCGACGATAAAAATCTGAAGTTTGTTGATCACAATGTGCACCAGCAAAACCTTCATCACAGATGCAATTAGATCCTTCAGTTGTTTCAATACAACGACCATTGTTACAAGCAAATTCGACACACGTAGATGTTAAACGCAAGATAGAGAAATCTTAGTATAATTATATAGTCATATACTGTACAATGCAACATTTTGTAGACTTACCTGCAATGGTATCATTCTTCTTCGATTCGATAATAATCAAGAGAGCAGCAAAAAATAGCAACGAAACGTCTCTCATACTTTCACCATGTGCTTACTTGGAATTATACAGATGTAAATGATTGAAGCTTTTGTTTTATGTTATCTGATATTTTTCATAGAACAAATTAGTCGATTGCTTAAGCTTTCTTAATAAAGTAAAAAATCAAGAACGTTATATGATATCACTTGAGAAATATTTATCGAACATTTTGGCCAAGTAGATTACATCTTCGTTCTTGACAATAATGGTAGCAATAGATGAATTTTCAAAGCTATTTTTTATAAAGATTTATGACCAACGATGATTTGACACGTATAAAGAATAGACTAAATGGTTAAAACAGTTTCATCCTACAAAAAAATTCACGATGAAATTTTCTCAATAAAACTTGTTTTATTAAAAAAATATTCAGAATTGTTTCAAATTCTAATAAATAAAAATGTATTATACATGTTATTAACATGAATAGTCGAATCATTTATTTACACAATTCAAACAATCTGTCAATAATATTTCATATCTTCTGTAATCGTATAAGTAACCCAAATGGAACTATACTAGATCTTGCTGTTGTTGTCCATTCAACATTTTGGAATGATTTCGCACCTCCTTTGACGATAATCGTATCTGCCTGTTGCTTGCATTGTAGCATTACTCGAACGTAATAGTTATTTCCATCTATTGCTTTGAAATTTGAAAGAACACTAAACTTAGGTTGACTGGCACAGATGATTGAAGGGGAGGTGGTACAATGAGTAGTATCTGGATGACCACTATTGAACCGAGTTCCGTTGGCGAGTTGATCACCGTCTAATGGAATAAAGCGATTACTTAAAATTGATGACAATCGATCTAGCGATGTTCCGTAATAGCTTGTCTTCCATTCTTTAAAAATGTTCCATTGTTTTTTGTGCGCTTCATTTAAACGAAGACCAAACCGAATCCAACCGTGAAATTCTTTGCATCGTTGTCCACATTTTGCATCCATAGTTGAAGGATTGTGACACTTTCTGCAAAAACATTTGTCGTAGTGCTTTGCAAAATATGCCTCTGAAAGGTTTAGTTTTCTAATGTAGTCCTCACATAGAGGTTTTCGACATTGGAGTGATGAAGAAGCCGCAGCACTAGGAGGAGGACGACAACTAAGTATGAATGAAATGTTCTTATGACTAAGATATATAGTATAGTCACTTATAACTTACGGCGAAAATTTATGCAGATTTGGCTGAGCGTGACGGGCAGGTCTACCTGGACGTTTTCCTAAGTCTACAAGTGCAACAGAAGGTGTGATTGGAGATGTTGGTTTTGGTCGTGGTAATTTGTCTAAATTACATCTCAACATGGGTAAATAATTATAATATTGATTTCAGTGTCAAATTCAAATATGTTTCTTTGATAAATGTTATCAGGTATACTGTTTATTTCTGTGTTTTTTTTATTCAACACTGAACAATTTTATAAATGAATAGTTTTTTTTACTATCCTACTATGATCCCATAATTCTTTTACCCTTCAATATCCATGTGGGTCCATGTGTATACTTTACGATATGACAAAGTAGGTTTTAAAAAACTTACGACGCTTCCATCGTCGATAAATGTAATACATTAAAGCAAATAACGATATCCAAAATGCAATAACGGACAAAACTATGAAAACAATTGCCACAGTACTTAGATGTTTGGATATTGGTGCTGATATAGCTGAAGTAAAGAAAAATTTCTATTTACAATCAATAGTTTTTTTTTTGATAAAATAAATTACTGGCAATCCTAAATGGCAGGTATTGTGGTCGTATCGTAGCCTGATGATTTGCCGTTGTTTTAAGGCTACTGTTTGTTTGAATACGATGTTCTGCATTGGTTTCGTTATTAACTTGTATAGCATTCAATGTAACTGATGCATAGATTGACGGCATGGATTACTATTGTATTCACTTTGAGTATTAAAATGTTATTTTTTTATTTCATTGCTATGTTTTATCAGCTCCCTTCATAAAAGACATGTGCTTTCGGCTCATATTTTAGTTTGTCTATTTATCAAAGAAACAGAACGGAAGTGTATCATTGAAGCGCTATATAAAAGAACTGCTGTATTAGTCATGACTTTTATTTGCATTTTATTCCAACTTTTGCAATAGTTGTAAAAGAAAGAATTTCCAACTTGAGAATATCGAGCTGTTAACAAATACTTCTTTTCTTATTTTGTCAAAAAGGTATGTAAAAATGACTGAAACGCATACAAATTAAATATCAGTTAAAGATTATTATATATTTGACTTTCTCACAAAATTGATGAATTTCTTAGGTTCGAAATAACATAAATGATTCATTGGTTTTATTTATTTTTGATTTTAATTGAGGCTTTCATTAATGCTATAGAAACCTATTACCATAATGAATCACATTTATGTTGTCTATTTATCGAAGTTTCTAGAAAGCAGTTGAATTTTGTTCGTGACCAACTAGTCTTAACATATCTTTGATAACAGTTGATTATGAAATAAAAGAACGCAAGAAAATGCAAAATAATATATAAAACAACTATTGTTCTCTAATGTATTAGTTACTATGAGAGAGTTTTAAAACAGCATAGTAGCATCGTTTCCGCTCAAAATGAAAGCATTTTGTCTAGCTATTATATAATCACAGCTCCGTTGACATGTATGTATTTTATTTATTTATATATATATATGTTTAGTGCTTATAACATGTATTATAAATGCGCTAGCTGTAAAACAGTCAAATTCTTTACTCAACATTCACGAACTGAAACTGGATATTGCAATAAATGCCAATGTTCGAGATTATTTTTGCCAAATACTCCGTCAACGAGTTCAATGCATCCGCCTATGAAATCTAGTGGATTGGCTTCTGTTGTCAGGCGAACACTTGAAAAATCAATTGACGTCGTAGACAAAATAAGTGATTATTCAGATGTTAGAAAATATCGAAGTAACCTGGATTTAGCAACACGTTCGACTACTGATCTAATTCGTTCTTCAAGTATGGCAACATTCCAACCTTGTAATTATTTCAAACTGTGTCTCGAATTCATGCTATCTGTGGGATATTCAAAAAAGCTTTTCAATAGAAAACATAATCGATGTTATTGTGAAAAATGTTATTCAGCTAATAGCAAGAACTTTTATATAGAGGGAGGTTCCCAATATGTTATTCCACGTGGTTGGGTCCGTTTCGGATTGTATATTGATGATGCACAAGCAGAAGCTGAAAATATATGGAACACATGGATTGTAAGCTACCATGGTACAAGTCCTCAAGCAGCAAAGTCCATCATTGAACATCATCAATTTCTTCTTCCTGGAGACAAATGTATTGATGGACATGTCATTCGAATAGGCGAAGGTCATATTCCGAACAAATTTGAAGTATATACATCTCCCACTATCGCATATTCAGCCGATAATATCTACAGTCCATCTGTTTCATTTCGTTCAACTTCAGGGCAATCCTACAGAGCTAAAGTAGTGCTTCAATGTCGTCAACAACCTGGAACATATAAGATTCAAGCTGAAACTATTCGTGCCGGTAGTAGACGTATATGTCCCATTATTCCTAACAGTAAAATAGAATACTTTACAGAAGTACGAGCATCTATCATACCATATGGATTGCTTATTCGTATTTTTCAATAAAAGTCGACCGATGTATAATAAATTTAAAAAAAAATATTTTCGTTTTTCATAAATGATCTTTTAAATAGTTATGCATATTACTATGAAATCCTTAGAAAGATCTAGAATATCATATAAAAATGAATAACCGTCAATAACGATTGAAAAATCTGTAAATGGAAAAGAGACATTTCAATTATATTATAACTATGAAAACATTTCTGACATAAAAAAATTCGACGCTATTCATAGCGTAAGTTATGAATTTATCGAAACATGAAAATAGTCAAATCAGCATTACTTTCAAGTCAACATGTAATACATATTTTATAGAGAAATTCATTCAGAGAATCATTTTGAAAAAATAAACTTTGATTCTGACGTCACACAAAAATACAATAATATTATTTGGATGAAAAACAGTTCATCAATAGTTTAGGTTTGCAATAAATTCCATTTATTGAGCAAGATCTAATTGTCATCTAAACTTTTGTTAAATAAAAAATTTTAATCTTTTTGCTATAGTTATGATATATGGAATACTGAATCAAGTAAGTAAGAAGATTCTGTGATTTGTTTCACAACATCATTTTATATTCTTTAAAGAACTACGTAATTCTTTTAAGTATGGTTGTATTACAAATCGATTTACATCGAATATCTTAATGATTGCAATATGTTCTCTCATTTATCCGCATAAGTTAAAGCTTCTTAAGAAAATATCTTATGACAGTACATTTCTCTAGATTTGAGAGATACAATATTCATCGAATCAACATTTTCAAATGATTATGAAATTGTATAGTGAAAAAGAACTACATAAATAGACAAACTAAAAAATAATAATTTCAAATATATGGAACATGTAGATTAGACATTGAGAACTTTTATCATTTGCACGGAGAACTATTCTCTTTTTCTAAAAGTCAGAGATTTATTACCGCAAATGACTTAAAGCCGAGTTTTATCGAATAATAATATTTACTTTCTACAAAAACAGATCGAAATCTTCCGATCCTACTTTATGTATACAATCGACGTTACCTAAATTTGTACAAATTTAATTACAAAATAGATTACGATTAAAATAAATTCCCAATAAGTATAAATCTATGCTTGATTATATGTTATCTTATTAAATATTCTTTCGTGGGATTTTTAATTCTATATGTTTGTTTACACTCGACTCCTTAAAACATTAGACGTTTGACGCGACTATCGGTCAGTTGCCTGACAGTAGTCACTCATGCCGCTATTTTGAGTTACAGTCATCCTTCGTGCCATTCCTGCTTTGCTTTTTAAGCGTCATGTACACATTTGAAATCAAATATTGCATACTCTTTTACAGCCAACGATCTTATTATCAGATTCCAAAGAAAAAAAATCCTTAAAACGCATATACGTACAATCCAATCTTTGCTTATCATCTCTGTAGGCAACTATTTTGTGAACATTGCCTTTCTCGAGTTCAACAATTGCAGTTATTGATACTAATCTTACTTTTTATGCTGTCGTCGGTGATATATAATAAGTGATATTGATAAAATAATAGAAGTACACTATAGTTCTTCTCAAATACTTATCTATAATTACTTGTTTGATTATTTTGAACGATTCTCATCAAGCATCACTTTTCGAATAGTTACACAGTCAAAAACTGTACTCAAACACAATAATATTGAAAAAAAAATCAATAGACAATGCCCTAATCAATAATAGAATCTTTTAATTAATAATTGCAAATGATTCAATGAAAATAAGAAGAGCATGCAAAACATACTTATCTCGCCGTTGATATCTAACATGAATACACAAGGACAAAAAATTACATAAATACATCTTAACAATACATCTGATTGCTTGTTAACTAAAATTATTTCGCATCATTATGTCGATGAATCATTCTACAAGATCTTGAGGGTGTGTGGTTATGGATGTGAGTGTAAGGATTCGCGCGGATAAGACTGAAACCTAAAAGAGAACTCTGATTCTTACTTATACATCTACTCTAAATGTGCCATCTAAAACTATTGTAAAACTAGTGTGAAACCTGAAAGTTGAATTCAAATATTCCAATATTGCCCAATGAGAGTATGTCTGTGTTTTAGGGACATTATCTAGAAGAGAGATGCTTCTGTGAATGTCTAAATTTCAGATATTCAAATTTTCAATTATTGAATTCAAGTTTTAGGTTTCGTATATACATTGTAAAAATGGCTGATACCTCAGAAAAAATACTAAACAAGAAAAAGATGTCAGAATAAACAAATACCAAACGGAAAGCATTCACATCAACACAATTTTAGGATCCTAGATGTTGTTTATATAAACGGTACTGAAAACTTCGATCAAAAACGGTCTATGTCGTTCATTGTTTATCTTGCGAAATAACATGAAATTAAGATGCTCATTTAAATACTAAGAACAATTCCTATAAGGGCAACAACTCTCATCCTATCGAAATTTTTCCAAACTTGCTGCCTCTATGAAATCGATAGCCCTTCATTAAGTATTTTCTGACATTAAGCTTAGTGTCGAAGAAAAAGTTTTTTTATCATTACTGTAAAATTATTAAAGTGAAATCCTGAAAAAAGTAACGTACACTGGGTTTTCTATGGTAATTCAAATTATTGTTACAGATTCCGATCAGAAGAGTATACTTGACTATGGAACTCACGCAACAATTCATGGATAAGTATATTGATATAAAAGAAATATTATCTTACACATTACTACTAATATATGAAGTATTGGTATTCTGAGAATGTAGCTAATTATTTACATAGGATCAAGACAAGAAAAAAATAGCCATTAAGTTTGACCATCCACAAATGCGAAACAACATATCTGAGTGAGTTGCTTTTCCTTACGAAAACTAACATTTTCTTCTTTGTTTTTCAAATGGCAATGCTTTGAAGAATTAAAATTGATGATTTATCAATACAAGCAAATTTTCATCACATGAATGAAATGTACAAAAAGAATAACTTAATAGTTAACAATTCCAAAATTCTTTAATTATTTTATTATTGATTGCTTGCAAAAATAAAATCAAAGTTAAAAAAAGATATCTTGAAGTATATGTTTGAGAGTATAAAACAAATGTCGAATGATAAGTCATTAATGGAATATATTTTAAAAAAAGATGCAGAACGCAATCCGTTTATGATTAAAATTTGAAAAACTTCTGTTCCATTTTTGACAGTATTTCTTGTGGCACGAGAGTTTTATCCAAGAAGAATGAAATTTTTAATTAATTCTGAGAATTATCCGACAAAGAAGAGTTTGTCGTTCTGAACCATCGACACTTTACCCAATTAATTATAAAATAAATGATAACTGCATAGAATAACACAATTAAAATAGCAAACCACCAAGCTGTTTGCTTTGACTGTTTTGTCTTATTTAATTGGTTTTGAGCCTTTTCTCGACATTCTTTTAAAACATCCTTTGGTATTAATTTAATTGATAAGAGAATTAACAATGGAACAAGAATAAGATCATCCAAATAGCCCAAAATAGGAATGAAATCTGGTATCAGATCAATTGGACTTAATAAATAACCAAGAGTTATTATAATTGATAGTTTAGCATACCATGAAGTTCGTTGATCTTGATAAACATAAGCCAATGCATAACCTTCAAGTTTTATTGTTCGTACCTTTTCTTTAAAGTTTTCAAGAAATGATTTAATTTTCTGTTGTAATATATACACCATTGGTCTTACCTATATAAATATAGAATGTTAAATAATCGAGCAAGTAGGATAAACATACATGCTATCAATATTTAGATAATTATGTTGAAATGTTCTGCTTCATTACTTTTAACGTGTGTACAAATAGAAATAGAGTCTACCTTGTTATTTTCTTCGTTTTTAAGAAGGAAAAAAAATATGCTAACTTGCTTGTTTTTACTAGAGAAAAACACATATCAGTCATTTCAACATATATTATATATAGAAAAAGAATTCTACATCGAAGAAAATGAAGAACACTCAAAGTTTAGTATTAAAATACGTGCCATAAACAGATATTCTATAGGCAAACTTTGAGTTATTTTCAACGTGTAGAATAGGAGAATGAACACACTTACAAAAATTCTCTTGATTCAAGGAATGAAAAAAATGTGACTGTATTCATATTGGTCTGCATACATGTGTAAGAGCAGTCCAAATTAATATTTATATAGTAAATGATTTTTTCCCAAATACGAGAGAGGTCCCTAAGTGCCAGTCAGTATTTTCACAGAACATCATAGAACAGGAGTATGGTGTACTTGACGACTTGGTCACAGGGGCATAGAACATGTCTCTCTATATGTCTTCATTGAAGTTTGAAATCTAGCTGACCTTTCTACAAAGGCTACTAACAAGTTGTCATTGAAAATTTTTAATTTTTCTGGTATGTTTTTTTTTCCATAATCAGTATTTAAGTAAAGAAAACATCATCCTCATGCTAGTATACATGGTTACATATCGAACTCAACTAATACACATGTGAATAGAAAATTTTTTTATAAAAATCATACAAAAATCGTTTTTAATCAATTTCGTGTGATTATAAGCGAGAGAATTTTAATCCAGTTTTGTCTGTTTAACATTGATTACAATTGATGAAATTTCGATATTATTTATTATTTTTTGATTGTAATCGATTTTCAATTGATTAATAATCAATTAAAGGTGTATGATTTTAATCGATTTCTCACATCACACTTTTTACACGGATATTAATAGATAAATCTCGACTCTCTATAGTTTGATACAATTATATTTCGATGAGTTTCTCGAATAAAAATATATTATTTTATTCAAAAGTCAATTCACAACTGTTCAGAACAAAATTGTTTTGACTCTGTAACACAGAATGTAGCAAGTCTCAGAAATTCTAAGTTCCATATTAGATTTAGACGATGTCTTATATAACTGTGAACAAATATCTCATCAATGAATCAGTTCAATAGATTCTACTTATCGTTTTATTTAGCGACGAACAAAGACTTCAATATGTTTCTATTATTGGCATACACGAATGTATTATAATGCTAATTAAATTTTATTATCAATGAAATTTTCGCTCAATCATTTGAATTTTGAATACATTAGTGAATGACTCTAATTTGTGTTCAATTGTTTGATCAAAATTTCTCTTTTTATATTTATTGTAAAAAAAAAAATCATTTTTTAATCATAAAAAATATATTTGTAGTTTGTTAAACTATTTATTGATGTTGTGACCACTATGAATAATTTATGTTAGTTTCATTTGATTTCTTATTCATATTTTTATTAGATTAGAACATTAAACTCAAATTTTTATGCTACATTAAGAAAATATCGATAGCAGTAAAATAAAATAAATCGTATAAATATATAATGTTCTTAACAAAGATACTTGTTTACGATAAAATATGACCAAATTTATCTTGTATGTTTGTCTTTTAGTTATTTCTTTATCATCACTATGAAAAATAGAAAAAAGTAATGATACTCAAAGTTTTTTGTAATTATCAAATGGACTAAAGATCTCTTTGAAAGATGAACTCTTCTCTCAATTTAGAAATAATTTAGTGGCAAAATATTTAACAATCCTGTCTGTAAAATTAATACTTGAAATTTTTTTACAATTCGATTTTTTCATTTTTGAAAACGATCAGCTTCACATATTCATGTCAAAACTCAAAGCTCTAATGACCTATCATTTTTTTTTTGAGTATTTCTTTTACAACGGAATACAGAACTATTTGTTTTTAAACAGTCGAATAATGTTCAAAAATTCATTATAATGCTAGTTACATGGGTGTTAAATTGATATAATACTGTTAGTTATATAAAAATAACGAAATTATTCTTTTATCACTTGAGAAACAATAGAATACTGATTGAGACAGATGACGAAGTCTTACCAATGTAACGAAATTCATATGATATATTTACAAAAATTAGGCCTTACATTTCTGTCTGATAAATGTATTTTCAATAGTTGCACTTACTGTTGTTTTATCTCGATCACTATATTTCTTCCATGTCAGCATTTGTTTTTATCAATAGAAAGTTTAAAACATCCTTATGTAGATATAGCGAAAGAGAACAAATCATTGTAGATAGTATATTTGCCTCTGTTTTCAGTAAATATTCAAAAAAAAATGCTGCGAACAAGTTATTATATGAAAATATAAATGATAAATGAAATTTTATCGTATGAATATAACACTCAATTATATGTGAAATCAAATAAGATACATTGATACTTTGTCTGTAGTAAGTTTTTTGTTTTCTATGTATGAGACTGTGTATTGAGATATTCTCCGTGGTTGTATCGCGCATGAAGGATAAATAAAAGTAGCATATGCTGAGAAATTAATTACATTGAAGAGTAAAACGAGCATAGTACTTTCTTGCGAGGATAATTGCATGACTCTTATGATACAGTGATCAATTTGTATGTTGACTATGCATCCAATAAAAGCGACCAGTTTTGTTGTTGTTGTTGATCAGAGTGAAGATATTATCAGTAACGACATTAAATCGAAAGCAAAGAAATTGCCAAGATCGAGCGAAAGATGGCAATACTTGAAGAATATTTGAGTAAATTACGAAATGAGGCAGATTATTTGATTGATGTCGAAGTCATTCTTAGTTTATTTGATTAAGCTCACAAATAAGGATTGCGACTTGATTAATATCGACCTTGCTGCTAGTTGTTAAAAATCTTGATTATCTTCATAAAATAACCAATCATGTGATTATATTTGACTTAATTAGGTTACATATCTATATGCATCTGATTGATGGTTATTTATTATTTTATATTCATTTTTTCTCTAATTTTAGAATTTATATTAACATTAGGTTATGTTATTGCCGATAGAGATTTAGGTAAGGTTATTGATGTTTTGGTTTACATCTATAGTCACATGGGATATTAATGATAATAATCAAGATTCAACAGCTCATTACTATTGGGTCTAGTTTTAGGTTCTATCACCATTTAAATTAAGAAAGAAAAAAAGCTTTTAAGTGCAGCTCTTTTGAGGCCGAAAGGTGGAACTAACATATTTCCTATAACTTATAATACCCAATAACAATTAAAAACTCGTTTCTAAGGTCTGTAATAGAGAGGGGAGAGACGAGTCGCGAAAACTTCGATTTAAAACTTACATTCGCTATTTTCTTCGAAAATATATTTGAGTTCTACAAAAAGAAAACAAGAATAAAACAATAAAAACATATTTCTATCTTGTTGAATTGACAAGTAACGTTCATCCAGAGTCGATTGACTTATCCTTACTGGAGTGTTTTTAAATTGTCGAAAATAAATAAGATCAAAGTAACGAGAAATGAATGCATTTAATCTGTATTCATTTATTTTTTCATATTTTCTTCTCCAAATGATTCAATTTTAAATTGCACACAAGTTCTCAGTCAGTTTCAAACTTCACCTGAAATCACTTTTTTCTAAAACTATGTTTGATGATCGATAACCTCATAGACATTAATCTGAATTGCAAGACACATAATATAAAAAGCAGTTATCTTTATTATAATTGACAAATTTTCAACATATACATGATACCTATTATTACGAATCAACGAAAGATTATTTTTATTTCTTTGAAAAATTTAGAAATTTAACCAATTTACTCATCCTATTTTTTATTTTGTGAGATTATATTACATACTTCTGATAAATTCAATGCTTAATAGTTGTTGCTCTAGATTGCCAAAGAAACTACCTTGATGCGATGAATTCTTTCTATTTGTATTGTTATTTATCTTTCCAATAATTATTATAACAAAATTAAGAACGCATTTTTCCAATTAGATTATATTAGCGGTACTTGTAGTCAAAACACAATCGTTTTACATTAGTTTTATCACATAGTTTCAAAAAGTAGATTTTCATTTATCATTATCCTATGGTCAAATTTTTCTCAACAAGTTAGAATTTATGAAACAATGATATGCTCATCTATACACAATTAAGCCAAATTCAATTAGATTGAGATAATTTATTAAGAATGCTCGACAACCTAACTTTTATATACCTCATACTAGGCTGTTAATTTCAATAACTATTGCTTCATCATATGTTTTTCTTAAAACAACGATTGATGAACACATTATTAACTCCTAGCATTCGAAAACCACCCGATGTAGCAATCCATTTAATTGAAATATGCAGTTGGTATATTTACCAATTATTTTTGGACAGTTTTTCTTCATTATTTAATCTAAAATAGAATTACTTTCTTATGTACTGCATTGTAAAAAGAATTTTTACCGATTTATTTAATTCATGTAGCTTTCAAGTAAAATAATTGAGTGTAATAGATTCACCCGTTCTTCGAAATGAAAATTGAAAAGAAAATTTGAACGCCATCCCACGCATATCTTGTGAGAAAATTTATCGGAAAGGTGATTTTTTTTTCTTCTTGTTTTCTGATAAAAACCATGAAAAATCTTACGAAAAGCCGATAGAACTCGGCAGAAAGATCTTCAATAAAGATAAAAACTTTGGTTATCTGCCTAAAAAATATGTTCTACAAGATGGGATGGATATGAGGCAAATCTAAGACTATGATTGAGCAGTCTCCTATGGCAGTATAAATCGTGGCTTACATGGACTGGCTCATAAAAACAAACGTACTTTACATTATGCTTTTAATTAAAAACGATTTTGGTTCACTCTTTTCGATTAAATATCAAGCTAAAGT